TTAGTTAACAATTACATTATTAACTCTATAACTAGAATTAACGAGGAGATATAATTAACGAGGAGATAGAATTAACGAGGAGGTAGGTCTGACCTAAGCTGGAGTTCAGAGCCCCTGGGGCAGTTGGAGAGCTCGGAGGTGGCTTCCGGGCACTCGACGGAGCTCTCCGTGCCATCGTTGACGTCGTAAGTGAAGCGAAATCGTCCGTTGATGGGGCAGAAGACGCGGTCGATCAGACCGTCTTGCGTGAAGCTGCGTGACTCTGACGGGAAGACACGTGTTTGGTAAGACACGCAGGGAAGACAACACACACACACACACACACCACACACACACACACACACACCACACACACACACACACACACACACACACACACACACCACACACCACACACACACACACACACACACACACACACTGCACTTACAACATCACACACACAAGCACCACTACACACACACCACACACACTTCACATCCACTGATACTACGTCACACACATTGCACATACTAAACTACATACATTCCACACTATACTCATGTCACACCACCACATTAACCTGCACCTGGTGTTACTATTACTAACTCTACATTCCGACTGCTACTACTCTCTGACACATTCCACTGTACTAATGTCACTCTTGTCACATTCCACTGATACTTACGTCACTTTCACATTGCACCGCTATTTACGTAACTTTCAGTTACATTCCACTGCTATTTACGTCACGTTGTCACATTCCACTGATACGTCACTCTGTCACATTCCACTGATACGTCACTCTGTCACATTCCACTGATACTTACGTCACTCTGTCACATTCCACTGATACTTACGTCACTCTGTCACATTCCACTGATACTTAAGTCACTCTGTCACATTCCACTGATACTTACGTCACTCTGTCACATTCCACTGCTACTTACGTCACTCTGTCACATTCCACTGCTACTTACGTCACTCTGTCACATTCCACTGATACTTACGTCACTCTGTCACATTCCACTGCTACTTACGTCACTCTGTCACATTCCACTGATACTTACGTCACTCTGTCACATTCCACTGCATACTTACGTCACTCTGTCACATTCCACTGATACGTCACTGTGTCACATTCCACTGATATTTACGTCACTCTGTCACATTCCACTGCTACTTACGTCACTCTGTCACATTCCACTGATACTTACGTCACTCTGTCACATTCCACTGCTACTTACGTCACTTTGTCACATTCCACTGCTACTTACGTCACTCTGTCACATTCCACTGCTACTTACGTCACTCTGTCACATTCCACTGCTACTTACGTCACTCTGTCACATTCCACTGCTACTTACGTCACTCTGTCACATTCCACTGATACTTACGTCACTCTGTCACATTCCACTGCTACTTACGTCACTCTGTCACATTCCACTGATACTTACGTCACTCTGTCACATTCCACTGTACTTACGTCACTTGTCACATTCCACTGCTACTTACGTCACTCTGTCACATTCCACTGCTACTTACGTCACTCTGTCACATTCCACTGATACTTACGTCACTCTGTCACATTCCACTGCTACTTACGTCACTCTGTCACATTCCACTGATACTTACGTCACTCTGTCACATTCCACTGTACTTACGTCACTCTGTCACTTTCCACTGATACTTACGTCACTCTGTCACATTCCACTGTACTTACGTCACTTGTCACATTCCACTGCTACTTACGTCACTCTGTCACATTCCACTGCTACTTACGTCACTCTGTCACATTCCACTGCTACTTACGTCACTTTGTCACTTTCCATTGTTACTTACGTCACAATTATTCACTCAATAATTCCTAACATATTTACCAAAGAATTTTTTTAGGGATAAATAATTAACTTTTTATTAATTAATTAACAATAAAGTGAACGAAAATTTCAACTAATTAAAAAAATATTTTATTAAAAAAAATAGAGAAAAATAGAAAAATACGCACAAAAAAATGGAAAAAATATAATAAAAATACGAAAAAAAGATAAAGATAATAAAGATAACAAAGATAAAGATAAACAAAATAAAGTAAACAATATATATATATATATATATATATATATATTATATATATATATATATATATATATATTATATATATATATATATATATATATATATATATATATAATCGTATAATTAATAAAAAAAAATCGTAAAAACAAATTAAAAAAATTAATTAAACACACAAAGATATTTTTAAAAAATGGCAAAAATTAAAAAATAATCAAGAAATCATAAAAAAAACATAAAATTAAAAAAATTGGAAAAAATACACAAAAAAATAAAAATTAAAAAAAACATGAATAAGAAACAAAAAAAAAATCAGTATATGAATAAAATTCTGACATCTGTTAAACCTGGAGTTTACCTGGAGATAGTTCCGGGGGGTCAACGCCCCCGCTGCCCGGTCTATTTTCTAGGTCAGCAATTTCACCTGCCTTGGAAGATGCTGTTAGTGTGCAGCAATATTCCAGCCTAGATAGAACAAGCTTGGCCTCCCTAGTTTTGAAGGTTCCCATTATCCATCCTGCCATTTTTCTAGCAGTTGCAACTGATACAATGTTGTGATCTTTGACATTATCACTCCCAGGTCTTTTACATTAATTTTTCGCTCTATTGTGTGGATGGAATTTGTTTTATACTCCGATATAGTTTTAATTTTCTCACGTTTTCCATATCGGAGTAACTGAAATTTCTTATCGAACTTCATATTGTTAAGTAAAAGGACACAAGTGCAACTAATGTGACATTTTATTGTGACAACGTTTCGCTCTCCAGGAGCTTTATCAAGCTTGACAAAGCTCCTGGAGAGTGAAACGTTGCCACAATAAAATGTCACATTAGTTGCATTTGTGTCCTTTTACTTAACATATTATCGGTAATTCTACCAATATTAATACGAACTTCGTATTGTTTACTGTGGCCCACTTAAGGATTTGGTTGATGTCCGCCTGGAGTCTTGCAGTGTCTGTAATGGGGGACACTGTCATGCAAATTCGGGTGTCATTTTCAAAGGAAGACACGGTACTGTGGCTTACATCCCTGTCTATTTCAGATATGAGGAGGAGGAACAGGATGGGAGCGAGTACTGTGCCTTGTGGAACAGAGCTTCTTACAGTACTACTACTCTTTGTGTTCTATTTATTAGGAAATTATAGATCCATCTACCAGCTTTTCCTGTTATTCCTTTATCACGCATTTTGTGCGCTGTTACACCATGGTCACACTTGTCTAAAGCTTTTGCAAAGTCTATGTATACTACATCTGCGTTTTGTCTTCTATAGCATCCAGGACCTTGTCATAGTGGTCCAGTAGTTGGGACAGACAGGAGCGACCTGCTCTAAACCCATGTTGCTCTGGATTGTGTAACTGATGGGTATCTAGATGAGTGGCGATCTTGCTTCTTAGAACCCTCTCAAAGATTTTTATGATATGGGAAGTGAGCGCTATTGGTCTGTAGTTCTTTGCTATTACTTTTCTGCCCCCTTTGTAAAGTGGGGCTAAGTATAGAGTACAGAGTATAATTCTGACACCTACTATAGAGCATAATTCTCACACCTATTACAGAGTAATTCTAACACCTACTATAGAGCATAATTTCGCTGGCTCTCTTGGTCTTAACGGAGTGTAGAGTCGGGCAGGTCTGGTGGGCAGCCAGCTCTGTAGAATAGCACTTGTTGAGACCCTCTGTATAGATCTGTAGGAGACCAGGGAGGTAAAATTAGTACCTGGGAGGGAGAGTACGTGTGTGTGTGTGAGAGAGAGAGAAAGTGGGTGTAGGTGAAAGTACATGGGTGTATGAGTGTATGTGAAGATACATAAGTGTATGTGAGAGTATATGGGGGTATGTGAGATCATGTGAATGTATGTGAGAATACGTGTGTGTGAAAGTATGTGTGTGGGTGTGAGAGTACATGGGTGTCCATGGAAGAGAAAAGCGGTAAATGACTAATAATGGAGACACAGATAGTTGAGAGAGAGGAGAAGAAGGAAAGAATTTTTATGTAAATTTACTCTTCTGGGAAATGATGTCGCGACAGGAAAAGAGAGAAAAAAATTGATATTTCTCAAGTAACTAAACTCTCTCTCTCTCTCTCTCTCTCTCTCTCTCTCTCTCTCTCTCTCTCTCCTCTCTCTCTCTCTCTTCCTCTTTCTCCTCTTCTCTCTCTCTCTCTCTCTCTCTCTCTCTCTCTCTCTCTCTCTCTCTCTCTCTCTCTCTCTCTCTCTCTCTCTCTCACTCACTCACTTTTTAGGACATATATTGAAGTGCTATCGCTTTTATGACAAGTCAGTCACCACATTTATGATTCATATCTCTCTCTCTCTCTCTCTCTCTCTCTGTTTCTATCTATCTCACCTGTATAACGTTGCGAGAATGTAGTGAGATCTGGAAGCATCTGAAGCAGTCGTCTCCTGCTGTAGGGTCCCGCAGGATGACGTTATTGTTGAACTTCTTGTGACATACTCCCCACACAGGGATGGCGTCCGGTAGGATGGTCACCTTCACCAGACATCCTCAGTTTAGTCAGTGTGTGGGATGGATGTGGGGGGGATGGATGTGGGGGGGATGGATGTGGGAGGGGGGGATGGAAGGCCGAGGCAAGGATGACCCGGAGAAACAAAAAATACATTCACCATCACTCATTCAATCGCTGTCTTGCCAAAATCGTGCTAATATCAGAGCTGGGATGTCCCTCCGAGCTGCAGCCACTGTGATTCTAAACTCCAGGACTCATGTCTGTCTAACCGGTTTCAAAGAGTCTCCATAACTGTTACCTTGCTCACACTCTTACAGCACGTAAAGTCATAAAAACCATTTGTCCCCTCTCACTCCTATCTAATGCGCTCACATAAGCCTACTGGGTATTCAAACTCCTAGCATTCAAAACCTTCTTTACCTCTTCCCTCCAAAATTTCCTAGGACGACCCCTACTGTTCCCCCTCACCATAAATTATACACCTTCCAAGTCATCCAGTTTTGCTCCATCCTACCTAAATGTTCAAATCACCTCAACCCCTCCTCTGCCCTTTGAATAATGGTGTTGGTAATGCCACACCTTATCTTCAAGCTCCGTTTTCTATGCATATTTACACCACCAACAGCCCTCAAACACGATATCTATAATGCCTCCAGCCTCCTCCTCACTGTTACATTTAAAACTCGTGCGAAGCATGAGTTTTAAATGTAACAGTGAGGAGGAGGCTGGAGGCATTATATAGTACCACTATACATAATATAGTACCACTATACATAATATAGTACCACTATACTCTGGAACACTCACCTTTTTGCCTTCATAGATAAAGTTCTTTGTCTCCACAGATGCCTCAGTGACCTACCAACCTTTTATTCTTCGTCATTCCCAAGTATCTGAAACATTTACTTCTTCCATATTTCCCTCCCACCAATTTTATTCATAATTTTTCGTTGTCTAGATTTTTTGCTACTCTCATCACCTTTGTTCATTTCTATGTTCAATTTTAATTTCCTTCTTTTACTTGTTCTCCAAAATTCGTCTACCAACCTTTGAAACCTTCCTTTATAAACTCCGAAAAGAACCGCGTCATCGGCAAAAAGCAACTATGACAACTCCCACTTTGTACCAAATTTGTTATCTTTTAATCCCACAACCTCCCCACTCACTTCCTTTTATTTATAATATTTAAACAAACCATGGTGACATACAGTTTCTGTCAAAGGTTTACTTTTTCATGAAAATAATCTCCCCCTTTTTATAAACCTGAATTATATCAATAAAAATCTTTCGCTGTTTTTTTTATAATTCATAAAATACAACAAAAATTTTCCTTACTATTATATATATATATTATATATATATATATATATATATATATATATATTTTATATATATATAATATATATAAATATATATATATATATATATAAATTTATATTGTTCACTTATATACTTCAGTGTAAACACTTGGCCTACATTTCCCTACTCTTCGAGAAATCTCCTCTCCTAACTCTACCAGACATTTTAGCCGGTATACTGAATAGACTTATTCCTTCATAATTCTTACTCTTTTAGCCTCTTTTTTCACTGTAAAACGTCTCATATGCTTACTTTTCTCCCTTATTACTTTCTTCACCTCATCATTCCTACAGTTCTTCTTCCCTCCAGCACCCGCCCTCCTTTGCTGCACAGTAACACTGCATTCTTACATCTTCCCCCATCACTCTTCTACCCTCCTTCTATTACCTTAATTATCTTTTGCCCATTTATCCCCTCCCCCCGTAGTTGTTTATATCTTACCCTATCTCATTTAACTGATTTGTAATCTTTCACTTCTCTCTTATCCACTGATGACATTTTTCCGTGTACTCCATCTACTTCTTAGTCTCACTGTAGCTACAACTAAATTATGATCCGATATATCTGTCGCCCCTTCGTAAACATGCATATCCAGAAGTCTATCCATCAACCTTCTATCTACTAATACGCAGTGCAATAAGCTGTTGTCATTACGCCTTTTATCATATTTCTTGTACTTATCCTCTTTTTCTTAAAAAAAAAAGTGTTACATATTACTGAGCCTCTTTCCATAAATAGTTTAATTAAAGGCCCCCTTATCATTTACCCCAGACACCCAAACTTACCAGTTACGCCCTCTACACCAGTTTCTCCTAGTTTAGCATTTAGATCCTTTACAATATTTATTTTCTCAATTGATTCAAAACTCCCTAAAAATTCGCTTAACACATCCCAAAATCTCTCTCTCTCTCTCTCTCTCTTCTCTCTCCTCCTCTCTCCCCTCTCTCTTCTTTTTTCTCTCTCTCTCTCGCTCTTCCATCTCCGCACACGTCTCCTCTTCAGGTCCACAATTACTATAACCCACTTCTCACATCCCATCCTCATTCTAATCCACATAATTCTTGAATGTAAACATCTTGCAACTACTACCACCACTACCCAATCCATAACACAATCCATAACCCCATATACTCCTACCCACTGAAATTCTCCCTCACCCTCTACCTGTATTTCTCTCAGAGCAAGGATATCCAGCTGCTCCTCATTCACACACTCACAATCAGTTATTTCTCCTCCTCAGTACCACACACACACACAAACATACCAACAATAAAATTTCCGGCAATTTTTTTTATGGAAATGTATTCAGAAGGGGTTTCTGGCCCCCCATGATCCTGGCCTTCTTATTCGCCTTTTAAGACTCTCAATGGTATTATTTATTATTATTATTATTATTATTATTATTATATTATTTATTATTATTATTATTATTATTATTATTTATAATTATTATTGTTGTTGTTGTTGATATTATTATTATTCTTATTATTATTATTATAACAGAGGGGAGTAAGTACCTGTGAGTACTGATGTAGAGATCCCTCGGAGATAGTGGAGATACTGGACTGAGTAGCGAAAATGCCTTGATACTCCACCGGGAAGTAGCACACGCCAGCCACTGTCAAGGAGAATACAATAACTGTCAAGAAGCATACAATAACACTGTCAAGAAGCATACAATAGCACTGTCAAGAAGCATACAATAACACTGTCAAGAAGCATACAATAACACTGTCAAGAAGCATACATAACCCCTGTCAAGAAGCATACCAAAAAACACTGTCAAGGAGCATACAATAACACTGTCAAGAAGCATACAATTACACTGTCAAGAAGCATACAATAACACTGTCAAGAAGCATACAATAACACTGTCAAGAAGCATACAATAACACTGTCAAGAAGCATACAATAACACTGTCAAGGAGCATACAATAACACTGTCAAGGAGCATACAATAACACTGTCAAGAAGCATACAATAACACTGTCAAGAAGCATACAATAACACTGTCAAGGAGCATACAATAACACTGTCAAGGAGCGTACAATAACACTGTCAAGGAGCATACAATAACACTGTCATGAAGCATGCAATAACACTATCAAGGAGCATACAATAACACTGTCAAGGAGCATACAATAACACTGTCAAGAAGCATACAATAACACTGTCAGGGAGAATACAATAACACTGTCAAAAGGAGCATACAATAACACTGTCAAGAAGCATACAATAACACTGTCAGGGAGAATACAATAACACTGTCAAGAAGATACAATAACACTGTCAAGAAGCATACAATAACACTGTCAAGGAGCATACAATAACACTGTCAAGGAGCGTACAATAACACTGTCAAGAAGCATACAATAACACTGTCAAGAAGCATACAATAAACACTGTCAAGGAGCATAAAAATAACACTGTCAAGGAGCATACAATAACACTGTCAAGAAGCATACAATAACACTGTCAAGAAGCATACAATAACACTGTCAAGGAGCATACAATAACACTGTCAAGGAGCGTACAATAACACTGTCAAGGAGCATACAATAACACTGTCATGAAGCATGCAATAACACTATCAAGGAGCATACAATAACACTGTCAAGGAGCATACAATAACACTGTCAAGAAGCATACAATAACACTGTCAGGGAGAATACAATAACACTGTCAAGGAGCATACAATAACACTGTCAAGAAGCATACAATAACACTGTCAGGGAGAATACAATAACACTGTCAAGAAGATACAATAACACTGTCAAAGAGCATACAATAACACTGTCAAGAAGCATACAATAACACTGTCAGGGAGAATACAATAACACTGTCAAGAAGCATACAATAATACTGTCAAGAAGCATACAATAACACTGTCAAGGAGCATACAATAACACTGTTAAGAAGCATACAATAACACTGTCAAGGAGCATACAATAACACTGTTAAGAAGCATACAATAAACACTGTCAAGGAGCATACAATAACACTGTTAAGAAGCATACAATAACACTGTCAAGGAGCATACAATAACACTGTTAAGAAGCATACAATAACACTGTCAAGGAGCATACAATAACACTGTTAAGAAGCATACAATAACACTGGCAGGGAGAATACAATAACACTGTCAAGAAGCATACAATAATACTGTCAAGAAGCATACAATAACACTGTCAAGGAGCATACAATAACACTGTCAAGGAGCATACAATAACACTGTTAAGAAGCATACAATAACACTGTCAAGAAGCATACAATAACACTGTCAAGGAGCATACAATAACACTGTCAAAGAGCATACAATAACACTGTCAAGAAGCATACAATAACACTGTCAATCGCATACAATAACACTGTAAAGGAGCATACAATAACACTGTCAAGGAGCATACAATAACACTGTCAAGGAGCATACAATAACACTGTCAAGGAGCATACAATAACACTGTCAAGAAGCATACAATAACTCTGTCAGGGAGAATACAATAACACTGTCAAGAAGATACAATAACACTGTCAAGGAGCATACAAAAACACTGTCAAGAAGCATACAATAACACTTTCAAGGAGCATACAATAACACTGTCAAGAAGCATACAATAACACTGTCAAGAAGCATGCAATAACACTGTCAAGAACCATACAATAACACTGTCAATGAGCATACAATAACACTGTCAAGGAGCATACAATAACACTGTCAAGGAGCATACAATAACACTGTCAAGGAACATACAATAACACTGTCAAGAAGCATACAATAACACTGTCAAGGAGCATACAATAACACTGTCAAGAAGCATACAATAACACTGTCAAGGAGCATACAATAACACTGTCAAGAAGTATGCAATAACACTGTCAAGGAGCATACAATAACACTGTCAAGAAGCATACAATTACACTGTCAAGAAGCATACAATAACACTGTCAAGAACCATACAATAACACTGTCAAGGAGCATACAATAACACTGTCAAGGACCATACAATAACACTGTCAAGGAGCATACAATAACACTGTCAAGGAACATACAATAACACTGTCAAGAAGCATACAATAACACTGTCAAGGAGCATACAATAACACTGTCAAGAAGCATGCAAAAAACACTGTCAAGGCATAAATAACACTGGGCAAGAAGCATACAATTACACTGTCAAGAAGCATACAATAACACTGTCAAGAAGCATACAATAACACTGTCAAGAAGCATACAATAACACTGTCAAGGAGCATACAATAACACTGTCAGGGAGAATACAATAACACTGTCAAGAAGCATACAATAACACTGTCAAGCAATATACAATAACACTGTCAGGGAGAATACAATAACACTGTCAAGAAGCATACAATAACACTGTCAAGGAGCATACAATAACACTGTCAAGAAGCATACAATAACACTGTCAAGAAGCATGCAATAACACTGTCAAGGAGCATACAATAACACTGTCAAGGAACATACAATAACACTGTCAAGGAGCATACAATAACACTGTCAAGGAGCATACAATAACACTGTCAGGGAGAATACAATAACACTGTCAAGAAGATACAATAGCACTGTCAAGGAGCATACAATAACACTGTCAAGAAGCATACAATAACACTGTCAAGAAGCATACAATAACACTGTCAAGAAGCATACAATAACACTGTCAAGGAGCATACAATAACACTGTCAAGAAGCATACAATAACACTGTCAAGGAGCATACAATAACACTGTCAGGGAGAATACAATAACACTGTCAAGAAGCATACAATAACACTATCAAGAAGCATACAATAACACTTTTCAAGAACCATACAATAACACTGTCAGGGAGAATACAATAACACTGTCTGGAAGCATACAATAACACTGTCAAGAAGCATACAGTAACACTGTCAAGAAGCATACAATAACACTGTCAAGAAGCATACAATAACACTGTCCCGGGGAAAACAATAACAACCCGTCAAGAGCATAAAATAACACTGTCAAGAAGCATACAATAACACTGTCAGGGAGAATACAATAACACTGTCAAGAAGCATACAATAACATTGTCAAGAACCATACAATAACACTGTCAGGGAGAATACAATAACACTGTCAAGAAGCATACAATAGCACTGTCAAGAAGCATACAATAACACTGTCAGGAAGATACAATAACACTGTCAAGAAGATACAATAACACTGTCAAGAAGATACAATAACACTGTCAAGAAGATACAATAATACTGTCAAGAAGATACAATAACACTGTCAAGGAGCATACAATAACACTGTCAAGAAGCATACAATAAAACTGTCAAGAAGATACAATAACACTGTCAAGGAGCATACAATAACACTGTCAAGGAGCATACAATAACACTGTCAAGGAGCATACAATAACACTATCAAGGAGCATACAACAACACTGTTAAGGAGCATACAATAACACTGTCAAGGAGCATACAATAACACTGTCAAGGAGCATACAATAACACTGTCAAGGAGCATACAATAACACTGTCAAGAAGCATAGAATAACACTGTCAAGAAGCATACAATAACACTGTCAAGGAGCATACAATAACACTGTCAAGTAGCATACAATAACACTGTCAATGAGCATACAATAACACTGTCAAAGAGCTTACAATAACATTGTCAAGGAGCATGCAACAACATTGTCAAGTAGCATACAATAACACTATCAAGGAGCATACAATAACACTGTCAAGGAGCATACAATAACACTGTCAAGGAGCATACAATAACACTGTCAAGAAGCATACAATAACACTGTCAAGGAGCATACAATAACACTGTCAAGGAGCATACAATAACACTGTCAATGAGCATACAATAACATTGTCAAGGAGCATACAATAACACTGTCAAGAAGCATACAATAACATTGTCAAGGAGCATACAATAACATTGTCAAGGAGCATACAATAACACTGTCAAGGAGCATACAATAACACTGTCAAGGAGCATACAAAAAACAATTTCAAGGAGCATACAATAACACTGTCAAGGAGCATACAATAACATTGTCAAGGAGCATACAATAACACTGTCAAGAAGCATACAATAACACTGTCAAGGAGCATACAATAACACTGTCAAGGAGCGTACAATAACATTGTCAAGGAGCATACAATAACACTGTCAAGAAGCATACAATAACACTGTCAAGGAGCATACAATAACATTGTCAAGGAGCATACAATAACACTGTCAAGAAGCATACAAAAAACCACTGTCAAGGAAGCATACAATAACATTGTCAAGGAGCATACAATAACACTGTCAAGGAGCATACAATAACACTGTCAAGGAGCATACAATAACACTGTCAAGGAGCATACAATAACACTGTCAAGGAGCATACAATAACTTTGTCAAGGAGCATACAATAACACTGTCAAGAAGCATACAATAACACTGTCAAGGAGCATACAATAACACTGTCAAGGAGCATACAATAACATTGTCAAGGAGCATACAATAACACTGTCAAGAAGCATACAATAACACTGTCAAGAAGCATACAATAACACTGTCAAGGAGCATACAATAACACTGTCAAGGAGCATAAAAATAACACTGTCAAGG